AAATCAGTTTTCCTATTCTCCAAGTTTGCTTTTCATTCTCGGCATCATAAATATCCAACATTTATGCAGAGGTTCTTCTCTTAGAGATATATAAATGTGAAATGAGGTTCACGTCATCACCGGACTTCATTTATTTTGCCATTATTTGTGTTTGTTTGTTCTACTGATACGATCTCAGCCTCTCCACTGTTTGTGTGACACTTCTCTCTCTCTTTCTTTCAGCGTGCAAGACTTTACTAAACAAAAAGTCGGACGGTGTGAAGGTAAGTTCTCTGACCCGAGAGGGATTTATCGACTGTTTCTGTCTCCTTGACTCTACCTGTCCTCTGCTGTCTCCCTTTCAGTCTGTCACCCTAACAGCTCAGTAATAACCTGTCTGTTTGATATGAAAACAGCTGTATGTCCTTTAAGTTGTATGACCTCTGTGTCCTGGTGCTTCTTTCTTAGTCTTTAAAATCTGATTTAAATACAATTTGTTACTCGGTGGATTAGATTGATATTAAAAATCAAGTCGTAGGTTGATGATGTTCATGAGAAAATAAGGGACTTGATAAAGAGCTGTTGGATGTTTAGGATGATGTTTGTTTTTAACCACCATTTATAATCTCCTAGCGATTCGTGCCTCCATCACGTCCTGCTGCTCGTTTTGATCGACAGCCTCAGTGCATGCAGTGAAGCGCCATGATCAACAAGCGCCAAAATAGAATTCCTATTACATACAGTAAATTAAACGATAGATAATCCAGCCCTCCAATAAAACATGATACAAATCAACTGCTCAACCAGTGGTTTCAATATTTTTCCCTTTAAAAAGAAATAATCCTGGTATTTTCTTTGCGGCTGATTCTTTTATTCTTCAGTGTCCCTCCGTCTGTTTTTTCTTTCTGGGATCAAAATGGCAGCTTTTTAAAAAAATTTTTTTTACTACTTTGATTAGTTCCTTGTTTCTCGATGACCCCTTATTTTTTCCTCCTCTCCATTGCTGTCTGTCAGAAAAGGAAGTCCAGCTCGAGTGTTTGTTTGATGGTGAGATCGGCTCTGTCGTTTTCATCCATGTTTTCATTATTCGTCTCTCCTCTTCTTTCCAAGTCTA